GGCAGGGACACGTTGCTGCCAGTGAAAATTCTGGGCTTTGTGGCATGGCAGATGCTCAACTACTGCTCCAACAGAGCCCAGGGCTGTGGCTCCCAAGGCCTCATAAATTGGGAGAGTCTTCTGCCAAGAGCCTCCGTGTTGTGGCAATCAGCAATCCCTGGCTGTCAGGGGACTTGAAGGGCTGTGTGCGGAAGCCTGGCAGGTGGCCACTTACCGAGAGTTTAGAACGGATTGTGTATTATTGCAGGATTAAAGAAATACCCACATGTTCACATTGTGAAAGCCATTTTATCAGCTATGTTCCCTTTCAAAATATGCTTTGTCACACAGATTTAATAATAGAGATACCAAAGAACTAAAAATAGTTTGGCTTTGATAAAGAGGTTAAATGGGAAAAAAAAAACTAGTTCAGTTCTCCTAAAAGTCATCTTTTCTAAGAAAGAGAACTAAGTAGAAGAGTCAAAAATATAATTCCTATCTACAAAAATAGCAGAGAAACATAGAACAGTATCATGGATTGAATCAATGCCCTATACTAGATAATTGGTTTTGTGTTCTTTAAAAATAACATTCCTGTCCATTTTTATTGAGTTTGGATTTCTCCCAAGAATTCCTTTGAGGCTAATTTCACACCTGTGAACTCATGGTGATACTAAATATAAATTCATTTTGGATGGATAATTTTATGTTACTCCAAAGTTATTGCAATAATTACTGACATCTCATAAAAGTTCATATTGATTTAAATCACTTTGTTCATTTTTTCCATCAGGAATTAATTATAGGAAAATTTGATGATGTTAAAAGTAAGCTCTGATGTCACATAGAATTCAAAAGGTATGTTGGAAACATGATTGCTTAACCATATTTTCAAAAAACCCAAAATAACATCTTAAGCACTTTTAGTTAAAATTAAAATATTATAGGAAGTAAAATTAAAATGTACTGCCTTTTTCACATCTTCCTTTTCACCTTATACCTTCCTTTGTCTTATCTACAGTATTTTATAAAATATCGGGATGAGTTGCAATAATTAACCTAATTCTTGGATAAGCCTACCAGGTATATGTCTATGTAGAAATACATTTCAAATTTGATACACTAGGTGCCTTTATTTCTCACTATTACATTACCTTTGTAACATTTTGGAAACAGTGAAAATCAGTATGGAAAAACACACTTATAACCTAATAGAGTAAAATAAAATTGAAGAAAGCTAAATGCAATTATTCTAGATCATGGAAGTTTAAATGCATTCAATGGATTTAAAACTATGTTGTTATTAAAAGCAAATGAGCTAATATAGAAGTCCTAATGCATATTTAATACATTTAAGTGTTTAAGTAAGGAGTTTATTCATATAAATTAAAATTATACTTTAAAAATAAAGTATAACAAGCATCAATATTATGCACAGAGGCACAATATTTTTATTTAATGCACATATCTCTGATTCTAGAATTAAATTAATACTACAGTTTATTAGAATTTCTTTATTTGTAATAGAGAATCAAATTAATATTATCTTCAATGATATTTATTTTTCATATATGTGTCAGATATTCTTTTTTTAAGCCTACTGTAAGGCGTCGTCTAAACTGAACTTGTTATATTAAGACCCAAGCATATTTAAATGAATAAAATGAGATTATTATAAAAGAAAAGTGAGTGGTACAGACATTTGAAAGAAAATATGTTTAGTTAAAAGCATTCAACCTTGACACACATAACCACACACACACAAAAAAATACACATATTGAGTCAGGATTAAGACAAACATGCTTCAAGACTCATACCTGGTAAAAAGATAAAAAAGAACTTATTTTAGAATTAAAGGAGAAAATTATACATTTATTAAATTCCTCATGATAAAATACAGTCATTCATAAAACAGTATTTGTGAAATATGCAGCCAAAATTAGAAGTAAAACAGGGCAAATAGATTATATATATATTTTGAGTGATTTCTATCATAGTGATACATTGTGGCACACAATTAAACAGAAAAGATGAATCTGCTCCTCTGATAGTTTATCAACACAGGGGTAAAAGTGCCTGGCACCGTCAGAGAAGTCATTCCAAACATCCGGTCCATGACTGCCCATTGTATACTCTATGATGGTAGCTTTTTCCTGTGACACACCTTAGGAATAGCTTAGAAATATATTGAGTCTTTAATTATTGCAATGAAATAATGTTTCTTGTACTCGACTAGGGCAAGGAGACCTAAATATTCTGCAATGAGCTAATTGGTGAGTTACTTACCCCAGTAGATGGATTTTTACTCCGATGTCCCTGTTTGTGACTCACTCTTTTGCACCTTGTCATCTCTAATAGGAGGATCATCTTCATAAATTTTATGGCAATTATTGCACTGCTTGAGCACAGCTTCCTATTTGGTGGATCATTTAATGTATTTAATGATAAGTTGAAGGAGTCAGTATTTCAGCCTTAATGATCCCATGATTTTTTTTCCCTGCACCTATTTTCTTCTTATGTTTAGATTTTACTTCAACACTGTGATCCTTCCCTTCATTGTGTACTTTGCACTTTTGCTCCTCTCTTCCTTAACCATGTTCTGGAGGCAAAATACAATCCTTTTTTAAACAGAATTTTCTCTGCTTCTATGTTTTTTCTGATTCCTTGAGGGCAGCGGAGCTGTTAAATGTGGTTTGTATACACAAGAGAAAGCAAATAAATGATTGCTTTATTTTACTTTCTCAAATCTCAAACTGCTCTTCAGTACTACAGTAGCTGATCATACCCTAATGTTTCTCTAGGAAATGATCTCACTAACCAGTGCATTTTAGAATGAATGTATTTTCTTGATAAATTTTCAAAATCCCAGTTTCCTTGGTCCTCTCAGATTATGTGTTTCCTGATTTTCTTAGAAAGGGAAAGTGATCAGAATAGATATTATTTTTCTTTTTTACCAAAGATGTACATCTGTGCATCTTCTTATATTAACTTGTTGTTGTTGTTGTTGTTGTTTTTCTGGTTTAAAATGAGCAACAGCCCTTTTTCTATTCAAGTATAAATTATTTTTGTATCTTGGGTCTGATTCCAGTTAGTTGGAGAACACTTTGTTTAAAAAAATAAAAGATATAGTCTTTATCTGTAAATTTTACTCTTGTTTAGTTATAATTTATTATTCACATAATAGAAAATCCATTACAAGAATGTTACCAAACAAAATTCTTCAGAAAGCTTTTTAATCACACTTAGAATAAACTTAAAATTTAAATTCACTTATTGGGAGGATTAGCCTATAATTGAGTTCTTTAAATATTATTTTCAAGAATTGAAATCAAGGCTATGCTGGCCTAAAAAATTAATTACAAAGTGCTTATTTTTTCCTAATTAATTTAATTATTATTTTTAAAAATGTGAACTCACCAAAATAGTCATTGGGTTTAAGGTTGTATTTTGAAAAACTTCCACTGAAAAAGCTACATTTCATTGGGTAAAGGATTTCTACAACATACTTGATAACTCTAATAGGATAAAGAAACAAATTTTCAATTCCTGTTTTTGTCTACTGGAGAGCTGTAGTCATCCAAGAGTTTTCACTTTGCATATTTTGAGCTAATTCATATAACTTTCTCCACACTATTTCTTTTTGATGTATGAAGTATCTATAACGATGCCCCTTTTAGAAGTCAGAGTTAACTGCATTCTCAATTAAAATAAAATGATTTAGGCATTGCGGATTTTCTATTATGTACACTTTTCTGTATCTTTCACTTGCATGACTATTTTTCAATATTTCCTCTTACTTTGATGGCAAGGTAGTTTACTATTTTTTCTAACGTTTTTTCATTGAGTTTTTTGGTACATTTTAGGTATACAGTACAGTTACATTCATTAGTGGGATCTTGTACCTTTACATGACCTGTCTTGGTTCTCCTTTTTTCCCCATTCCCAGCCCTCCCTTCACCCCCTCCTCCTTTTCCTATTTACAAAGACTTTATTTCCATTTTTTTCTTTTTCTCATATTTTTTCTCCCCTTATTTCCTTTCCCCTCCCTTTCCCATTCCCCTACACCTTTAGCCCTTTTCTTCCTATTTCACATTGTCAATTATACCATTATGATCTTTTCTACAGTTATATTTTTTCACACCAGAGAAACTATTAAGTATTTACACATGTGTGACTTATTTATTTCACTTGGGAGTACATCCTCAATATGTATCCATTTTCCTATGAATGACTCTAATTTCTCATTCTTTATGGCTGAGTAATATTACATTTTATAGAAAAACCACATCTTCTTTATACAATTTTCAACTGATGGGCAAATGGGCTGATTCCAAATTTTAGCTATTACAAACTGTGCTGCTATAAACATAGACGTGCATATATCTAATTTTTTGAGATGTAAATTTAGATAACTTATTTTCAGCTTTTTTGAACTAATGCATATGGTTATTGACCATTTAATATCTACCTAGTATAAATATATTTTGAAGTATAGTGTTGCTTTCACTTTATTAATTTTGATGTGATATGTTAGGCAAGCATTGAAAACATATACAAATATATTAATAGGCATAAACATATAAAAAGAAATAATAATCAAAACTTTGATATATATTTATATGTATATATTTGCATTTATACATATTATATATATATACATACACTTTCTTAGATGCCAGAATTCTGTCAATTTTTATATTATCATACCAGTTTCAGTGTGTTTATATCGATTGTTTTTATTTTTAAAAGTGTTATTCCAAGCATCTGTAAACCCATCATATTTTTGTTTGCTGATTTTATCAGTTTCTAAAGAGAGATGTAGCTTTGCGCAGTGGCAGTATCGTAGCCATATATATACATACACTTTCTTAGATGCCAGAATTCTGTCAATTTTTATATTATCATACCAGTTTCAGTGTGTTTATATCGATTGTTTTTATTTTTAAAAGTGTTATTCCAAGCATCTGTAAACCCATCATATTTTTGTTTGCTGATTTTATCAGTTTCTAAAGAGAGATGTAGCTTTGCGCAGTGGCAGTATCGTAGCCAATGAGGTTTATCCGAGGCGCGATTATTGCTAATTAAACAGAGATGTAGAAATGTTGTACCATTATGCTGATTGTTTTCCTCTTACTATTAATTGGTAGATTTTGCTTCTCAAAATTTAAAACCGCATTAATTTTTCTTATTTTCTATGTTATGGATTTTTAAATCTTTAGAACTGTAGTCTACTTTTATTATTCCTTCTAAGCTTACTGCTTTAAGGTATAGTCTGTCTTATATTTGTACAATTACAACACCTTAAAGTTATATAACATTTCAATCTATAACTTTTTGGTTTCTCTGTAAAAGTTATGAATCTCATAATTATATTTTTCTTTAACATAAATGAACATTGTTTTTAGATAATTAGTTTTTAGAAAATTAGTGTTCTTTGTCTTTTTATTTAAATATCTATTTGCCACTGAGCAACACATATTACTGATATCAATTTGCTATTTGATTTTTTTTTAATTCCATTTTCTTTTTGTTTCATCTCTTCCATTTTGGGTTATTTTAGATTAGCAAAGTATTTTTGTTCACTTCCATTTTTCCTCATTTATTTATTAGATTTTAGTTATACTTTAATATTCTCTCAAGTTAGAAAGAAAATTATAATCTACATTCTTGTTATTTTAATGCTACTCTAATTTACAACTTATAACATATCTAACTACATGAAAACCTTAGAATGATCTACAACCATTTGGCATTTGTATGAAGTAAGTCAACTTGATTGAAAATGTATTTTAACCTTCACAAGATCTTTACATTATATTTTTATTGTATAAACTTTTAAAAATATTCCTTTGTCTAATCTTTGTAAGAATATTTATTTCCTTCTCCACATCCATATTTCTTTCTAGGATTATTTTCCCTCTCCATGAACAATCCTCTTTAACAATTTTAGGACAATTTATTTGTAGGAAATTCTATCAATTGTTGTTTACCAGGAAACATTTATTTTTTTTAACCTTAATTTTCAAAGGGTTTTTAATTCAACAAAGAATCTAGACTAGGGGTTATCTTGTTTGAGAATCTAAGATATACTCAAATTGCTTCTATTTTTATTTTGTGGAAAAGTCATTTCTGTCACATCTGATTACTTTTATGAATCACCTTCAGTTTTCAGGTAATTATTTATAATATGCTCAGATTTCATCATCCTGAATTTACTCTTGTAAGTGTGTATACATTGTATGGATATGTGCTTGTCTAAGAACTCTGTATCATCTTTGGGGGGGTTTATTTTGTTTTGTTTTGTTTTGTTATGTTTTTTGTACCAGGGATGGAACTCAGGAGACAAGGAGGCAGAACCACTGAGCTAAATCCCAGCCCTCTTTTTTCTTTTTTTTTTTTAAATTAAGTTTACTGGTACATTTAGGTATATATTATGATCACATTCATCATTCGGGATCTGTACCTTACAATAACTCCTACTGCTGTGTCTTCTAACTACTAAGTACATCTTTTCTTTGTCTATTTCTTGTAAAGCTTATGTATTGAGCACCAAATTTCCTTTTCCCCCTTTTCTATTCAAAATGTGGTATCTTGACATTTATTACTTTGAATGTATTCAACACTGATATTTGAATACCACCATTTTGTAATGTGGATATCTTTGCTTCCCATGTGTCTCTTTCAACTATTTCTCTTTTCCTCTTTTATTCCAACCATTTCTTTGTGTCATTTGTCATGCCTGGTAATTTTGTTTGCATATTGGCCATTGTGGATAATCTGTTGGAGAGTTTCTGTGTTATGTTATTTTGCTAAAGAATGGAATTAATTTAAATCAGTCAGAAAGTTAGAAGACACATGAATCATCTTCAAATACATTACACTGCTTCTTAAATAATGCCAATCATTACCAGTATTTTCAAAGATATCAAAATTATCAGTCTATAGAAGTTCTGTGAGACAGAGAAGTCCAAGATAGTGGGTATTATTTCCAAAATTCTGTGTCCCTCACTGCATGAGATTTGAACAGTCTACCCAAACCATTTTTTAATGTTAGGGTTCGTTTTAAAAGAAATTTCTTTCAAATCTTGTACCTGGAAAAAGTTCTCTTGGGAATAGTATTTTCTTTTACATTACAAAGTTGTAACTTATTTATTTTTATAATTATTTTTATCTTGCTAAAGTCCAAATATATTCTATGGCATATAGTTACACTTCCTCCCTTAAAAGTAAATTCTGTATATCTCACTATCTTACTTCATTTGTAAAACCCATTTATAAGCAGAATATTCAACATATTAGCATTTAGAATATAGATATTGAACTACTGCTCAGTATGTCAGCAGCAATTAGGACTTTTCCCAGCACAGGGCATTACTTTGAAAAGTGAGAAGATGGACAGACATTGGCATTAAAAATGCTCCTGAATAGAAATTTCTCTAGCGAGCAGAAGGCCAAGGATATAAAAGAGAAGATTTAAATGCATGTTGTCTTCACAAAACTGAAATGTGGGCAGACAGCTTATTGCTGTTTTAATGGCACCTTGCAGAGATGAAATTAACATTTGATTTACATGAGTGTCCTTGGGCACAGACAATTGTGACTACTCCTATCTATTGATAGGAGCTGAATTAGTTTTAACCTCTCAAAGAAATAATCTAGAAGTCATAATGAAAAGCTAAATGCAGATGTCCACTTAATACACAGTGGTACTTCAAGCTATAAGAATGAGATTACAATATAATCGTATTTTGTACCTATTAAATAGCTGTCTTTTGAAGAGTCAAAGAAATTTACACCATTTTCAAATGTGATAAACTAGTTAAAGAATGTGACTCTATCATTTTCAAGACCATCTATGATTTAGGACGCAGAGAACTACAGTTAGAAAACTCTATGGCCACCATCTCATGCCTTCAGGAATCACTGATAGTCTGGAAATGAAGCAATCAATTAAACACTTACCCCTCCCAAAAAAAAGTACTGTGATAATGTAGAGAGCACAGGTTTTATATAGAGGGAAGAAAATTCATTGTTTTGAATTATCTTGCTAGAAAAATTAAATATGCACTAAGAAGAAATTGAGCCAAAATCTACTGATTTTCCCTCTGTGATTCTAGTTTTACCTTTTTATGTATGACACATAATTTTTAGATTGGCAGGTGACTTATGCAAGTTCACAGGAAAGATCCTCAGAAGAGCTAAGAATTGTTCTTCTTCTATTATTAAATCAATGAATCAATTTAGTCCAAAATAGTTATGTAAATTCCTGTTTTGCATGATCTAGTGACAATTTTCTAAATATGAGGTTATCTTCCATGATTTACAAGTAGAAACAGTTTGCAAGCATTAAAATTTAGTGACATCCTAGGGCATAATGTATTTGAGTACCTTCTCCCATGAGAATTATACATTGATTGTCGCCATACTCTAGCCTCCTGAACTACCACAGAAACTTTTCTGTGTTTCTAAACCACCAGTTTGTGGTAGGTACTGCTATGACAGCCCAAGGAGAGGAATACACCTAGTAAAAACAAGTTTTTTCATTTTACGGATGGAAATACTAAGTATAAATGTTATATTAATCTTCATACTTAACTCAGAAATCCTAGTAATACAAGATATCACGAGTGTCATACAGATCCAAAACTCCTCTAAGTTATTTTTTTGCATATCAATATTTTATGTTGAAAGGGACACATTTACATTTATTAAAAAGCCATAGTTGAAAAAATTATATTTTTGCAGAAATATTAGTAACTAACATTTAAAAAGCATTTGCATTTTCAGCATCTTAAAAATCCACATAAAATAAATCATCTGATTCCACTAATGTGCACACAGCAATAAGCTACCAAAGGCAAAATTGCCCTATCCCATATTTTCAAACCCTTAGTAGTTGGTCTACTAGGAGGAGAAATGTTTTAATACGAGTGACAGGTAATATAGAGTCCCTTCAAGATAAGTGACAGCATCTTTGATTTTTAAAACTCAGGTGTCCAAGTTCTAGATGAGTTGACATTTTATCTGTGGGCATTTCACCTGAAAATGATGATTCCTATACAGGAAAAAATTGAAGTAATTCAGGGAAAGACAACAGGTATAAAAAATGTGTATGGATATTTTCAGTAAAAAAGAAAAAGTAAATAACTAAATATCCATGATGCAATTGTACATTAAAATTAAATATAACAAAGTAGTCTTGAGAGATACTCTAATTTATGTTCAAATTAAAAAACAAAATAATACTATTTGATATTGTATTGCAGTGGTACTAAAATGTATTAAGTAACTATTGAATTGGTATTACACAAAATATGCTCGTTAGATTTTTAAAAATACATACACAAGCGGCAGTGTTACATTTTCAAACCCCACCTATAAATGGATTACTACTGTGCTATGCAATAATGATCACTCATTTATTAATTTTAATCTAAATACATTTTAAAGCAATAGGTATCACTGTAAATAACTGAATTTGAAAAGTTAAACTTATTTTAGATCCGTTATGTAGGATTCCTGTTTTGGATACAGGTCATTTGGTTTCATAATAAACTTGAATGTATTATAATTGTAGGTAGCCCTTGAGAATGGGCTAAATTTTACATACACTAGCATAATTATTGTTATGATTATCCCAAATATGGAGACCTCCAACTCAAGAGCAGATAGATTCACAATGTAACTCAAGTATCAAGATAGCTCATTCTGGTATAAAAATTACTCTCATATAACTTCCGTGGGTGACTCACTTGGAGTTTTTAGTTAATAATCTTTACCTAGCCCAAAATTGTCTCCCTGGCATATATTATTGCTGATGAACTTTCAATTCCATTTAAACCCACGTTCCCTTAATATCCCATTGTGGGAGAGAGCCTGAGAAAAAGTGAATCCAGACAGCTGTCAGAATTCAATGTTTTTCAATTTGGTTAATAATAATGATGATGATAATAGCCACCTTTATTAAAAAGGCATGTATTAGAGAACCTTCTGAAAACTTTACTTTTACTAATTTCATTATCACAATAATGTTGACAATTTTTTTTTTTTTTTTT